ACAAACAAAAAAAACAAACTGTCTTTAGCGGTTGCTGGACAGCCGATGCTGTGCGGTGGTTGGCGAAGGGAATCACATCTAAAGGATTCATGTTCATTGATGCTTATTGTTGTGCTGGAGCTCAATGCAGCAACAGCAACATTCGCAGAGGCCGCATGCAGAGTAACAGCAGCGGAACCTGTGTGCGTGACGTGGGCGCCGCTGCTTGCGTGGGGCTTCAATGACCCAATGGGTTTGATGGACTGAGCAGCGTGCAGGTATGGCCCAATAGGCATGGCGGCGCTTGCCTGTTTTACTACTGCTGACTGCCACTACGCATGACGTGGGGACCTCCTCTCTTCTGCAAGAGGTACGACGTCTACCTGCTACCACTGACGCATTCGGCAGCCTGCAAAGTTCATTGGGGGGGCAGAGGACGACAAAGAGAGTACCGGCCCACACGCAGAGTCTGCTGTGTGCTGGTGCCACGCAAGACAGTGCCGAATCGCACAGAAAACAACAACAACAAAAAAACCCACAACTGTAATTATTGAGCCAGGCGAGGGGCGACCACGACATCGCGGCGTTGCTGTGCTCTCTGTGCGTCGCCAGATCTCGCTAAGCGGTGAGACCGTAGCGAGTCCACGTGGTGCCAACTCCAGCGTCCAGTGGCCAGAGGGCGAGTGAGTGGGAGGCGGCACCTCCGTTGTGCGACGGTTGCGTGACGCCTTGTGGGCCAGGACGTTTGGCTTTTATTTTATTTTTTTTTATCCTGGCGGAGCTGAGAGCGAAACGAAACAAAATCAAACATAAAAACAACAACAACAACAACAACACACCACAAAAGAAAGTGCAGTATCATATGCAGTGGGCACCACAGCCACCAGGGATGGTGCTGGTCTGGTCTGTCTCCAGCCCTCTTCGCCTGTTCCTCCCCGTTTTTATTACTACCGTTGCGGACACCTCGTCCCCGTTTCTCAGTTTTGTTGGTGCTTCTGTTTTTGCTGTTGCTGTTCTAGGGATGCCACCGAAATCCGAAAGGGAGAAGACGCCGGTTGGCGCCGGAGTCAAACGGTCGCGCAGCCGTTCGCCACCCGCCACGCCGCCAACGAAGATGACCAAGCCGACTGGGAGGAGCAACACACCGTCGCCATCGCGGTCTTTAGAGGCCAAAGCAACCACAGTCGAGCCTTCAATGCCTCCTGCTGCTGCCCCAACTACACCCACTGCTGTTGCTGCCGTAGAGCCGCTGGCATTGCCGAAGGACGACGCAAAAAAGACAGAGAACAGTATCTGGAGCCAGGTGGAGCCGTTCCAGCGGCGGACCGAAGCGAAGGACTTCGAACCAGAGCATATGTTTAAGCTCATCACGTGGAACGTTGCTGGCCTGCGCGGACTACTGCGGAAGGACGCCCGAGCGATCCAGCAGCTTCTGGAGGCGGAGCAGCCAGACGCGCTGTGCCTGCAGGAAACGAAGCTGAACCCCGAAGACCCGCAGAACACCACGCTTGGTGAGGTGCCGGGCTACCGCTTCGTCGATCACGCGTGTCGTGCAAAGAAAGGCTACTCCGGCACCCGCACATATATTAAGGACACGGTCGCGGCAGAGTGGAAGACGACCACGGTGAAGGGCTTCAACACACTCAAATCAGCGCAGAACGTCGGCCGAAGCGACGGCGATGACGAGGGTCGGGTGTTGACGACGTATTTTGGTACAGGTGGCAAGGACAGCAACGAATTCGCTCTGGCGCTGGTGAACACGTACATCCCCAATAGCGGTATGACACTCGAGCGTCTGCCGTACCGCTACCAGACGTTTGACGTGAAGGTGCGGCAGCACTTGTGCGCACTGTCGGCCTCCTGCAGGCCATTTACGCGCGGCGGTGCCAACGACGCAAGCGTCGGCACGTCACCACTCACCGGATTCATCTGGACTGGCGATCTGAACGTTGCAGAGCGCGACTACGACCGCTACTTCGCCGGGACGTACAAGGCAATGCAGAAGTGCAGCGGCTTCACCCCGGAGGAGCGCGTCTCGTTCCGCGAGACGCTGCGGTTGACGGGTGCGGTGGACACATTCCGTGCCTTGTACCCGCGGGCGGCGCCGGTGTACACGTTCTGGTCTGCACGCATCAATGGCCGGGCGAGGGGGCTCGGCTGGCGGCTCGACTACTTTGTCGTCTCTGCCGCGCTGGCGAGCCGCGTCGTAGATTGTTTCACAATGCCACACGTGATGGGCAGCGACCACTGCCCGGTGCAGATGTGGCTGCGAAAGTGACACACCGCGTGTTTTTTTTTTTTCCACCATGAAGAGGGATGAAGAGAAGGGAGGGGAGTGACCTCCAGAAGACGAAGAGGGAGGGAGGAGAAATCAGATGTCGCCTGTGGCACCTTGGCGTTGGACGAGAGAGCGTGCGTGCCTTGCGTCTTTGACTGTGGAATGGATGGAGGTGAATGCGCCGCGTGACCTTGGCATGGTTCAACACGGAAATGTGACAGTGAGGAAAGGACCGACTGATTTCTATTCCTTTTGGTTTCTTTTTTCTTCTTTCTGCGTCTGTGTGTGAATACCGCATATCAAGAATTGCGCAGGCTCCTCTTCCTTGGTTGCTTAAGCAGCAGCAAGCAAAAGGGAATCACAGCGCACATGTTGGCCGCTGTGGAGGGCTGTGGTGCGTACGGTACGGCGTGTCACTGCTACAAGTGGAACTAAGACCTGTTGGTACTCAGTCCACGGCACTTATCGATATCAGTCACGCATGCACTCCGGTTGCAGCTGCAGGCACCTTTTGCCGAGTAAGGGAGAGTGGATAACACCAACGTCACCGTCTATTATGCCATTGAGCACCTGTACAGATAACATGTGCTTTTCGGTCTGTTTGCTGCACTGCCATTGCATAGTCTGCATGTACTACGGTACATTGACTTTACAGGGAGGCAATGCTCCCGCCAAAGTGAAGGAGCTTGTTGAATTGACATGAGAGCTGCCTTTTGGTGGGGCCTATGCGATATTTCTGTTATGCGCTACACGATTCCGATTGAAGCCTGTGTGACTCGTCGTGAGACATGGAGGTGTGCGATGGTGCTGCACACGGGAAAGAACTCTGCTCCGGGACGAATGGTGATTCTCGTGGCCTATGCCTCGATGCGGAGACCGAGCTCGCAGGCATATGGCATATCTGAGGTTGATGCGCGTAGCCACAACGCCAAGGCATGCGTTTTCGCTGTTTTTCTTTTGTTACTGTCTGTGTGTGTGTGTGTGTGTGTGTTTAGAGCGGGGAGGAAGTCGCTCTTTGGGCGACTTTGTGTGAACGTTGCAGGTATGCTTGAATGTATCACTGACGACGTGCCACCACGAATGTGTATGAGGGTCCTATTTTTCTTGTAGTGTGCGCAGCTGCACCCCCTCCCCCTCAGCTGGTTGCAGTCTCTCTTTTACGCCCCCGCAGTGGGCGTTCTCGTGTTCACATGGCGGCCTGCCGCCGCGTCTTGCACGGCAATGGCGACAACAGCAGCCACAGCCCAGCGAACCTCATTATTGTCAACCGCAACGTCACCGCGTCAGTGGGCGACGAGGCCGGTTCTGCTGTGCCGTAACTAGTCGTGTTTTCGTCCCGCTGCGGTGCCAGTGTGGGTGAGGTGCGGTGCGGAGGTGGCGGCGCGGGGTGGTTGCACACGTGGGCGTGGCGCTGGCGAGTCTTCAAAGCCCAAAGGGCAGGGCTCTGGCAGCTTACGCGGTCACGTTGCAAGCGACCCAGTTGTCCTTTCTGATGAAGGAGCTGATGCTTCTGCTCTTGCGGTGCGGCGCTGGTGGTGAGGTGAAGCGATGTGGAGGAAGTAATTATGAAGGAGGAATGAAGAAGCATTGCAAGACCCAGAATCGAAGCCTGGTGCTCTCGTGATTCTGTGGGGCAAGTCCTGAATGCATGTATGGGTGCCTGTATGTGTATACACGCATATTTATTGCTGTTTGCGTGAACGTTGGTGCGACTGCTATGATTCCGTTTTTCTTTGCTTTTACTGGCCTTGTGGATCGCCTACTGCGCCTTCCACTTGGGGTGCGTCTGTCTGTCGGGGTTGGGGCGCTGCAGCAGGAAATAGGAAGGAGACATCACCTGGTGAGAGGAGCAGCACTGCAGGACGGGGACATGATGCCGCACGGCGTGCCGAAGGGTCTTGGTGACCCCCGGGACGCCGCGCGCGGCCAGTGGGAGATGAGCAACTGCGTCGTCACCGACGACGCCTTCTCGCGCCCCAATACAGACCACATGGACGAGCTGCACAAAACGCAGCCATGGAAGTCGTCGCCGCACTATTTCCAGAGCGTCAAGGTCTCCGTGCTGGCCGCGCTGCAGATGATGATCCACGCCAAACGTGGCAGTCCCAACGTGGCGTGTGACAGCAGCAGCAGCACCAGCGGCAGCGGCACCGCCTCACCCCCGGATAAGTCGCGCCGCGAGAACTGGTTCGAGGTGATGGGGCTGCTGCTAGGGCACTTCAATGGGCGCGAGATGATCGTGACGGGCGCCTTCGGCCTCCCCGTCGACGCATCAGAGGTGGAGTGCTCCATGAACGATGCCTCACAGCTGTATATGCTGGACTTTCTGCAGTATCACCAGCGCGGCGGCACGCAAGAGGGCTGCATCGGTTGGTACCACAGCCACCCCGGCTACACCTGCTTCCTCTCTGGCACCGACGTCAACACGCAGCAACTCGGGCAGTCCGCGCAGGACCCATGGCTGGCGATCGTCGTTGATCCTGTGCGCACCATCTCCAGCGGCAGGCTTGATATGAAGGCGTTCCGTACATTCCCGGAGGCGTACGCAGCGGAGCAACTGCAGGAGGCACAGCAGCGCAGGAGCCACACGGTGGCGGGCAGGCGGTCGGAGAGATCAGCGGCGTCGGCCACCAGCTCCATCCCTGCCTCACGTGTCAGGGAGTACGGCGTGCATGCCCACCGTTACTATGAGCTGCCCATCACACTGGTCCGCAGCAAAAACGACGAGGCGCAGCTTGACCGTCTGTGGTGCCGCTACTGGACGCTGACGTTCAGTATGAATCCCCTCGCCGCCAACCGATCTCTGACGACGCAGCATATGCATCAGCTAGCGAACGTGCTCGAGAGCGGCGTGGCGGGCCGAATTGGGAAGGAAACAGAGAGCAGCAGGGTCTATAGTGCAACGTCACNCGACAACAATCGCAGCAGATGGAGGCTGAGGAAGACACACTCGATGATGCTGAAGCATTCCAACAGAGGAGCATCCAAATGCGCTACTTGGCCTCCGCTCTGGCGTCGGAGGTGGCACTGGCCAGCACGTTGACTGCGGTAAAGAACGCCGCGTTTCAGGCGTAGTTAGTCCCGCCTTACTCACTGCCCAGAGCAAGAGAAAAAAAAAAGGGTGTGGCGCGTGGAAGACAAATACCCGTTGCCGGCTCATGCCCTTCTCCTTTGGGCGCGTGACAGCAAAGGTAAATGAGGGGAAACCCACAGCACAACAACAAACAAACAAACAAACAAACAAGCAAGGAAGAAGAAGGGTGAAACGTTCGTCTAGTGGTGCGGTCTATCGATGCACGTGGTGAGAGGGGCCCGGGGTGCCCTGGTGGCGAGGCCGCTCTTCGCGCTGTTGCTGCTGCACTTCAGCACACTGGTGAGGGGCTCTCCCCCACTCTGCAGGGAGGAAAGAACTTGCGTGTCTTTCTGCAATCATTCATTTTTCTTTTTTGTTTCACATTGCATTCCTCACGCAGTGACGATACAGTAACGAATAAAACGAAAACAGATAGTGTGGAGAAGTAGTAAAAAAAGAAGGAAACGAGGCAAGACAAGTGAGTAGCTGACAGACATCAATAACCAGAGGCAGACTTGAAATAATAAGGCAGAGAAAGAATGCGGGGCTGTATGCGGCCTCAAACTATGGCGCTCGCCTCTAGCGCCACCGCACTTTCACCCCTGCTGCCGTGTCTGGCGTTCTCCTGCTGGCGCGCGGTACAAATGCGGGGGTGCGCCTCCACGCACACAGCCGCCAGCAACAGTGACAACGCTGGCAGCAGCAGCAGCAATGGTAACACGGCGAGTTCGCCCATGCCGTATAAGTCGACCCACAGGGGAAGCGGCGACGCGGCGTTGCCGCGGAAACACAACGGCAGCAGCCCCTCTGCTGCTGCCTCCGGGAGTAGTGATGCGCAGAAGTCACCGAACCTCGCGGGGTCACGCTCGTCGTGCACTGAAGATGGCGGCTCGGTGCCGAGCCGGCCGCTCTCCCCGCTGCAGCGGCGCCAACTTCTCTTCAAGCACAAGGCGGCCTTCACCCTCACCCCACAGGCACTCCGTCGTGTCAAGTACTTGTTGGGACAGTGCCGTGAGAAGGAGCAGCTTGCTCCGGACGGAATTCGCATCAGCGTGCGCCGCCGTGGCTGCAGCGGCTACAGCTATACGGTGAATTATCACTACCCGCAAATGGAGGAGCCACTGATGACCAAAAGCGACGATAACAATAACAACAATAGTCGCAGCAGCCGTAATGACAGGAAAACAAGTAACGCGGGTGATTTGCGGAAGAAGGACGTGGTGGTGGAGCAGGATGGTGTTAAGGTTGTGGTGGACAGTGACGCGCTCTTCTATGTGATTGGAACAGAGATGGACTACGTTGTGCGGAACGTGGAGGAGAAGTTCACGTTCCGCAACCCGAATCAAAAGTATTCGTGCGGCTGCGAGGAGAGCTTCATGCCCTTCGATATCGATGAGCAGGAGTGAGGGGAGTGAGGTGCAGATGCGCCTGTCTGCATGGACGCCGTGTGCGTCTCCCACGGCTGGAGCCCTATGTGGAGGGATACAGACAGGAGCACCGCGGCCGAACAGATATACACGCACACGCATGCTCTCCTTCGGTGGCGGAGAAAGTGGAAAGGGGCAACAAGAAGAGAGGGTGCGTATACATATATATACAAATATATAAATATATATGAGGATGGAGCCACGTGCAGAATCATGTGGGTGGGCGGGCGTACGCCTAGGCCCATTGACTCCCTTTTTTTTTCCGTTTGGAAGCGCCATACACGCACGCACATACGCATACAAGTACACGCACACACTCCGGCTTCTCACTTCTCATTACTCTCTTTCATTCAGCTTCTTTTTTTCCCGCATTTGCACCGCTCTTTCTTTGTTTCACTGTTCAACACAACACGTCTGAAGAAGGCGCAAGTGCTGTATCGACCATCTACGATATCCGAACGGCTATGGTGTTTTTCGTCAACGCCGCGGCAGATGTGCGCGGCACCAAGCAGAACCTGCGCCTTCAGTTTCCCGCGTGCCCCACACTGCTGGAGTTGGCCAGCGCTGTGGAGCTGCACTTCACAGCAGCAGCAGCAGCAGCAGCAGCAGCAGAAGCTGGGGTGGCACCATTCCGCGTAGACTTACTGATGCTGTTCGATGAATACGCGTTACGGTGGGCGGAGTTGTACAGCTCCGCGCAGCTGTCAACAGACTGCCAGGTGTACGCGTTCCACACGTTGACAGCTGCGGGGACACGTGGTGCGAGCAGCGAACTGCCGGCAGGTGGCGTAGTCGATAGTCCGGGTGTAATCATGCCTCCCAGCACAACAGTTGTCTGCGCCGCACCCGCACGTGATGTCTCGCCCTCCCTCTCCTCTCTCGACTGGGTGGATACCGACATCGTCAACAGCTGCGGTAGCAACAGCACAAGCAGCAGTTATCACTACCGACATCTTGCAGGGGGAATCGGAAGTCCAGCACCCACAGATAACTGCCGTCCAATGTTACATCGACCTACACGAGTAGCAACAAGAAGAAACCAAAAAATGGGACTTGGCGAGCGCCTTCGCGCCGTATTCGATACACTCGACAGCCATCAGAAAGGCTACCTACTGTACACTGATATCAAGCGTGCGGTGGATGCACAACGCACGGTGTTCATGAATTACTCCGCGGAAGTTCTCTTTGTGCTAGCGGACCAGGACGGTGACGACTGCGTGTCGTACAGGGACTGGGTGAGTTTCGCCGTCGAGCACCCCACTGTGGTGGACGCACTTTTCTACGCCATGCAGCCTGCACAGCACCATGACCACCACTATAAGAAGCAGCAACCACAGCAGAAGAAGAAGACACAGTTGTCATCATCGTCGTCATCGTTGTCGTTGTTGGATGGGGCGGGCCGGCAGTCGGAAGGTCTATTCGAGCGGTCACGCGCAACGCAGGCGTACGAAGAGGCGCGGCTGGCGGCAGACGCTGCGCGCCTCAACGCACTGCGGGTAGTGGGGCGCGAGTTGGCCGCACTCCGCTGCTTGAGGGGGCGACAGTGGTAGCGGCGCCCTTCTCCATTTTACCCACCCACACACGCGCATGCAATCACTGTTGCTCTATCCATCATCTGCTCACTTTCTGCATCCCCGGTGGGTGTAGCCAGTGGAAGAGGGCCTTCCTCCTTTCCTCCTTCCTCACGTGCGCCACAGAAGGATCACGCACAATCATATTTGTGCTTTCTTGTACACACACACACACACACACACACACACACGCGCGCGCACCCATTATCGTAAATGGCAAATCGGCTGCCCTCGCGGGCGGTCGGCCAGCGGCCACAGCGGCAGTACCTCAACAAAGCGACGGAGTTCTTTTTCCGCGAGCTGGACAAAGGCCTCTCGTCGCCGTGCGTGGTGCTCTCGCTGGGCGCGCTCTTTGCCGTGGCGGGGTGGAAATTTCTTGACTACTACGTCGAGCCGAACCGTCAGCAGAACGCGGTGTGGCGGCGACCGCAGTCACGCGTGCCGCTGAGTGACTCGCACAACACATTCTGGGGCCTCGGCATCGGCGGCGACGAGTGGCGCGGCATACCGGGTGGCCGCCACACCGCGGAGAGCATGACGGAAGGCGCGGAGGAGGCGCTGCGGCGTCCCACGCTGGTGGACAGCGAGATGAGTGAGCTGCCGGACGGCGGCGGGTCGGACCAGAGCGTGGTGTGCATGCAGCTGCCGGAGTACGACGCGCGGCTGGGCGACGATGTGGTGTACCGCAGCGTGCACTACGTCCCCGGACTGGCACTTGGCAGCGGGCGAAGCGGTACATCTACTGCTCCAGTAGCAACAAAAGCAAAGGTAGAGGAGGGTGCGGAGGAGGAGGAGGAGACGTCGCCGTATCTCTCCCGCATGCCGGCACGTGGCGCATCTATCATCCATGGCATGGTGAAATGCAAAGCCATCACGTCGCTGAACAACTGTGTGCCGTACGCCGGGCACCTCGAGGGCGAGTACGCGCGGAAGATGATGCTGGCGCTCGGCCCTGTCCACATCCTGCGCGACATTGCGCAGACCTCCTTCCCGCTGCGCCTGACCACCGCGAGGGAGGCACCGGTGTCGGCGCTTGTCTGCGGTCTGCACAGCGGTGAGATCCCGCGCTGGTTGAGCAACGCGTTCCCGAACTTCCGTGTCGACGTTGTCGAACGAGACGGCACTCTTGCCCGCGTCTGCCGCCGCTTTCTTGGCTTCCAGGAGTCTGGCAACCTGCGCCTCTTCATCGCGGACCCCGCCGACTTCCTTCGCCGCACTGCCGTGCAGGACGTGGGGCGGCGCTACGACCTCATCATGGTTGACGCCATTGACGGTGCGGGGCGGCTTAGCACGCAGTACGGGCACCTTGAGTTCATCAACAGCATCCGCAACAGTCTGACGGGCGCAGGCTGCGTCATCATGTCACTCCCCAACCGCGACGGCGCGTTCCTGTACAACGTTGTGCAGAATTGGCGTATCGCCTTCCCCGGGCGGACGGTTATCCTCGTGCACTGCGTCACATCCCCACACACGATGCTCATGACCTTCCAGGACGATGCAGGGCGCGGCAAGGCGAACTTCGGCACCATCGCTAATGCGGAGGAGTTCAGGGACCTGCTGCGCACCAAACTCGCGCACTACGGCCCGAGACGTGTGCCGTTCGACCTCACCCGCGAGGTGTCGCAGGATTCGTTCCGTATTCTTCATCCCAGCACGGTGTACCCGATCGAGGCGTACCTGCCGGTCGGCCACCCGGAGCTGCGAGACGCTGCTGCTGCTGCTCGTGGTGGTAGTAGTAGTGGCGGCGGGGGCCAGTTGGGTGGGTGGAGTGCGTGGCTGCGGCAATGGAGCAGCGCGTGGCTCACGCCGTCGCAGCGCGCTGATCTGCGGCGGATGGAGCGATGATGTGAGAGTGGGCATTCTGGAAGGGGGGAAGAGGTGCGGCGGTGGTGACAGACTGGGCGCATGAGTGCACACCTGGGCTGGGTGTAGAGTCGGCTGCTACCTAGTGATTATGTTTAAAGGATGTCTGCTGCCTCTTTGTGTTCTCTCGGATGGATAAGATGAGCAACGCGCAAAAGGAAAAAGAAAAGAAAAGGTAGAGGGGAAAGGACACGTACGCACAGACAAAGTTTAGAGGTTATAGGTTGCCTTTAGGAATCGAAACGAAACGAAACACAAAAAAAAGGTCAAGAACAGGGAGGTATTTTCAATACAAATAAAGTAGTATTAACCGTCGACACGGGGTGATGCTCGGCGTGACAGTACTCGCTGTGACGAAAGTCATCGTCGCTGTCTGCATCGGCGCCTTCACCAGCCGCAAGATCCCAAATGCCTCCGTGACAGTGCGTGACTTTAGTTTCATTATTGCCAACGTCCTTCTGCCATGTCTGACCTTCTACAACACCGCTGTTTCCGTTAACGCGGAGCTGCTCATCCACTGTTCCGTTCTCTTGGTGTTCGCGCTGCTGCTGATTGGACTCGGCCTCCTATGCGGTTTGTTGGCGTCAAAGGTGCTCTTCCGCGTCCGGCGCACTGGCATCCCGCACGAACTGCGTAAGTCTCTGCGCTTCACACTCTTGTACAGTGACGCATCCGGCATGGAGAGCAGCAGCAGCAGCAGCAGCCGAACACGGCAGTGGCGCAAGTGTGGTGTGGTGTTGCAGCCGGTTGTGTGTGTCGTGGTCAGTGGCGCGCTGGAGCAGCAGCGCGTGGAGGCGTCGGAGGTGCTGCCGCTCATCGAGCCTCCCGGCGTCGAGTACGAGGAGCAGCCGTTCTACCACTACGCCTCCATGCTCGCATGCTCGCTGCAGAACGCCGTTACGCTGCCGCTCTCGCTGCTGCAGGCGCTTGCGGTGTCCCTTCCATGGATTGATCTCCCAACCGGCACGTCGTACATCTTCATTTACAGCGTTATTGTTAGCGCGTACTTTTGGAGTGCCGGGCCGATGATTGTGGCCCACGCAAAGAGCGAGACAGACAAGCGCCGCACCATACGCGAGGTGCTGGAGGTGCACCAGAAGCTGCAGAGCCGCCGCGATGCTGCCACGCAGACGGAGGTGCACAGAGCGGTTTCACTGGTGACGTCGCCGAACGTCCAAACCGTTCGAATGCTGCCGCTACCAAGCCAAGCAGCCCCATCCTTAACAAGAGCAGAAACAACCGGCACCACAACATCTGGAGAGGCTGCACATCTAAACGGCACGCCAGCGACACTGAATATTGGCGATGCAGATGTAGATGCTGCTGCTGCTGCGCTCGCGCTGCGCAGCACTGGTAAGCAGACGGACTTCCAGCCGAATCTTGACTATACTGTCTTCGCCGCAACGTCGGCGTCATGCGAAACGTTCCCGTACAACTGGCGGGAGCGCGGCCTCGTCCGCGTCATGTACGAGCGCGATTTCAAGGATGCCGCTGCTGCGGAGAAGCAGGACACCAACCGCCTCCTCGACTTTCTGCGGGGGTGCAAGAACGTGATAGTGCATCTGCTGCAGACGCTGGCCTTCACGTCGGTGGTGGCGGGCGTCGTGGTGGGCCTCGTGCCGCCGCTGCGGTGGCTCCTCCTCGAGGGGCCGCTGTCGATGCTGATGGACTCCATCGCGCTTATCGCGCAGGGCTCCGTGCCGGCGTCGCTGCTGCTGCTCGGCTCCAACCTAGTTGGCACCTCCTCGCTGCACGACACGGTCCCGGAGGTGCACTTGCGTGAGGCAGAACAGAACACAGAGCTGCCGCTCAATGACGAAGGCGTAGACCCCAGCGAGGTGGCCGCGTACAACGCGCAGCACGCGGAGATTGAGTTCGATGAGCACGCGTCGTTTACACTGGCGAACCTGCAGCGGGACTACGCGGAGATGGTGGCGGCCGCCTTCAGCAGGGGTCCGACAGCAACATCAGCGGAAGCCATGAGAGAAGGAGGCGCCGAAGCGGTGAGGAAGGTGCCGTCTTCTACAAATGAAGGGGTGATGAACTACCTGCACAGTATCTTCTCGCTCCATGGCATTCGCAAAAGTTTCGTGTTTGGCATTCTTTTCATCCGTCTGCTGTTCCTCCCCGCTGTGGGGTTCACGCTGGTGCTGACGCTGCGGAGTGTGATGCCGGTGCTGTTTGGGGGGGACCAGAAGCAAAACGTGTTGGTGCTGGTGCTCCTCGGCGAGCTGGCGGCGCCCACTGCGATCAACTGTACTCTGCTCTTCAACACGCAACACTACATGCCAGGCGTGTGGGCGAAGATGCTGTTCTTCCAGTACATCGCCTGCACGCTCTCGTTCGTGCTGTGGTGCACAATATCCCTCTATATTTCCAGCTAACCCGAACACACCAGAGAAGAGAATAAAATGGCAAGAAAGGATGTCTAGTGGTGACGGTGGCGGCAGCAGATGAGACCATTCCCCCCCATGCAGGCGCACTGCACCTGTGGAGGAGGAGGCGGAGGAGGAGCCGTCGTCGCCGCCGCCGCAGCAGCAGCAACAGGACCCAATGATTTGCTAACCGACGCCACTCATCCTGAGTGGGGTGTGTTGGCCAGAGCAAGTCGATGTGTGTATAAAAGTCTGTGCCCTGTCGCGCGGCACCTCCACGCCTCTCCCTCTCCTTCTCCCCCCCTCTCTCTCTCTCTGTTGCGTAGTGTGAGGCAGAGCACGAAGGGGGTATCCACCGCAACAAGTGGATATCTACAAACACACACGCCCACATGCATCAACTTCACCGCCTTTTTCCCTTTCTCACGTTTCGACTTACTTTGGGTCTCATCGTTATAGAGTGGCAACCATCAAGGGTTGAAACAAGAACATCATCATCAGCAGCAAGCAAGCAAGAAGCAAAAGCAAATAGGAATCAGAACTGCGTGCGTGTGCGGAGGTAGTGTGGGTGTGATCGGAGCGAGATCCAGCAACCCGAAGAAAAGCCAACCACACACACACACACACACCCACGAAAGGAGAAGAAGGGGACGAAGAGGAGACGCACAAGTCGGCGGGCAGTAGCAGCNCACACACACACACACACCCACGAAAGGAGAAGAAGGGGACGAAGAGGAGACGCACAAGTCGGCGGGCAGTAGCAGCAGCAGCGGGAGGGAACACAAGAGGGCGGCGTGGGGAATACCGGCACACGCCCAGCAGCAAGGAGGAGTGAGTAGTACGCACAGCAGAGAGGAGGGCTGAAGAGGAGGAGGAGGAGGAGGAGGGCTGCTGCCATCTGCACAGCGGTATCAGGCCTTCAGCTTTTGTCCTCCCTTTATTCTCTTTCCTTCTCTCACTCGTATTCTTCCTAGTTCGCTTCTTCGGTTTTTTTTTTTTTTTTTT